CTTTCGATATCACCAGTTTGACTGAGGGTGTTAGTATGGAATGAGTGAAGGAACTCATCGGAAAGGGATCCGATATGAGATGATTGGAGGAAAGTCGAGCGACTTGAGAGGCGGAAGAGTTGGACACTGTGGAAAGCGCTTGCATGATGACCATCGCGTCCTCTGAAGTGATGGGTAATTTTTGTATGCGATCCAAACCATGGGGAACGACTTGATCGTCAACTTCATGTCTAGATATAATCGCTCGGACCTGAGGATGATGATCAAAGTCGTATAAGATTTCGATAAGTTTAACGGAGAGTTGTTGATCAGCTCGTCGACCTGTGGAAAGGTCGAGAATGATCTTCTGAGCCAAAGTGGAATCGATCAGGCTGACGGGTGCCATTCGAGCAGCTTGGCGGAGAGCTTGGTCGATCAAAGGTCGTACTTTTTCACCGATAACGTTCAGAGGAGGAGTGTGGGATGAATCTTCCAAATCGGGAGACTTCTTGACAAAATTGAGCGGACGGAGCATGATCATGTAGGTTAAAGCATCAGGTGCCAGTGGTCCTTCCGTCGGCATCTGTAGGAACGTCTGTTGCATTTCTTCCAAGAGATCATATCGCGCGAGAAATTTGAGATAAGCATTGGTCGGTGCAATGTCTATTTGTCTGGGAATCTGTTTCGAATCGTCTCCTCCCACCGACCGTGACTTGGAAGATGTCGCTTTTGCTGTTTCACTCGGCTCAGACGCAGCTGCTAGTGATCGTTTTAGATATTGCTGGTATTGGTCGTAAATCAGTTGCACGCGATCCCGTGTGCGTGGTGTAAGCATGGCCGATTGTGTTCGCGACGAACGAGGGAGGTATGAGTTGGGGACATGTGCGTAGGCATTGAGTAGAATGGTGAAAGTGTATGGGGTTGGTCGTATTCCACGTTTCTTCATCTCATCGTCAGTACTTGTCCCACCGAGTAACTGGGACATACATCGTTGAAAGTTCTCCACATGGTATCCAACCGTCCTTCCCGGCCCAAAAAAGTGAGAAGCGCTCCCCACACAGGAGCGGTGGCCATTTGGGGAGGAGCATTATAGACCATACTCATAGCCACGTCAAAATCCGCCTGAGTGGGTTTGGGAAAAGATCTCTTAATGTGAGTTTTCAAACGCTCTGAAAGGATGTACGGGTCGGTCGGAGGATGAAGAGGTCGACTCTTGTGTGAAGGTGGGGATGGAGTCCAAGGTCGTTTGTCTCGATGCGGAGGAGTAGGTTGTATTGACGTAACCACGGGGGGTTGTAAACTGTTAGGAGGCAGTATGGGTAAGGGTTGTGCTTTTTTCAGTATGTTTTGTAATCCTGGTTCGATGGACATGTTCAAACCGGGGAAACGGGAGCGAGATGATGATTGATTGGTAGGTAAGTCCTTGGGAGCATGAGCTGATGAGGGGCGAGGTTTGAGGGGGGCACGGTTGAAACGACGGGTTTGTATGACTTGAGTAGCTATACCGTCTAGATCTTCAAGGTCCCATGAGGCATTGTCGGTAGTGGTAGCATCGGTGACAGTGACATTCCGGCCTGTTCTCTTGTCCGGTTTCTCGCCTGCTGAAGAGACAGATCTGTTGGTAGTAAAGACGGAGGGTCGGTGACTGCTTTGACTTGAACTATGTAGTAGTGTCGATGCTCTGGAAGAGAAGCGGCGAGCAGCGGACATGATGGCCACAGTGTCAGATGCTCGTACTCACAGTGGGGAACGATTACTTGTAAGTATAGAGTGAGTACAGTAAGTACAGAGTGGGTGGAAGAGAAGGTTTTGTAGGAAGGGTGAGTGAGATCACGTGACTCAACTTTCAACTTGGAACCTAGACGCGTTCAACTCATATGAAACCCACAACTCCTTACTACTTACTCTATACCTCTACACTGAATAACCTTCTCTTCACCTTGGGTCGTACTTGGTATCCTCTCAACCTAGTACAGAGCTCAAGTAAGCATAGAAGTGTCGGATCTTATTTCTCATACCGTTGGAAGATCCATGTCTTGAAGTGAACTCTCAGAATCCGATCCCTCGTTTCCTCAGCCCTTCACTTCCATTCCACCTACCGATCATACACCCTGTTCATTCCCCTTCCTCCATTCCCACCCATCATGACTTCTTCACCATCTCTCGAACCAACATCTCCAAGCTCCCCTTCACAGACCCCAAAAAAATCATCTAAGCCTTCCAGACGCAAACAGGCCGAGAACTGGGATGACGATTTCGAATTCGCTTTACCCTCCCGGACGAGCAAACCTCGAGAAGCTCCTCCACGACCGGAAAAACTGGTAGAAAAAGATGAGAACACTTCAGCAACTCTCGGTAGCTTCGCCAGTGGGTCAAGTAACAGTTCAGAACTACCATGGGACGAGTCTCCACCTCCACCTGTCTCAACCAACAAGGGCACGGTCAGGGCTATAAAAGTCCCTGCACCTCTCAAGATTCCTCCTTCCCACTCTCACTCTTACTCGCACTCTCCCCCTCGTATGTCTCCCTCATTTTCCATCGGACTAACTTCTTCTAACCCACGCTCTATCCCCCCAACTCCGCTCTCTTCCTCTTCTCACCCCCATCAACCTCTGTTATCTCAGCAGTCTTATCCTCAACTCGCCCACATAGGTCATGCCCCAAGACAAAGATCGGGATCTCAGTCGGCTGCAATCAAGAACAAATTAGTCAAGCGTCACCCGTCAACCTCCTTCGTCCCCATGACCAACTCTGGTCACGGAGACTGGTCCCGGGACGTGAAAGGCGCTCCTGCCATGCCAATCCTCAATAGGAGTTCACCTAATCTGGCCAGCCCAATGCAAGTCGAGTCGTATCAATTGCCATTACCTCCAATACCTCGTCAACCTTCACGTGAACTGATGCCCCCGCCACCTCCACCAGGTAAGACACGTAGTAGGTCCAGGTCGAAATCAAAGCCGGCCTTGAGGGACGAAGCCAGACCTGCCCAGATACAAACCAGTCTCCGGTCCCCTGTTTCTGAACAGACGAAGCGTGATGAGCTGCCACTACCGACAGAGCCGAAGAGAAAGAATTTCTGGAAGAGATTATCAGGATCCCGAGATGCGATGCCCACTCGTGAGTCACTTTCTCTGCCAGGCTAAGTAAAAAAGGGCAAAACTAATCAGCAGTGGGGAGTTTAGGAGGGTCTCCAATTCACCGGCGGAGACGCAGTTCGTCTGTTGGAGATTCTGTCCCTCCTCTCCCATCCCCAAGACCCCCTGTGCCCCCGTTGCCGGCCAACATACGATCTCCTAGCAACACTTCGACTGCATCCACAACGTCCGCCTCCTCGTCTAATCGCTCAGGCCCTTCTGGATTATCGTCCATTCTTCGTAGATCAGCTAGCAATTTATCTCGCAAGTCTACTAGATCTAGTGACGCGCCACCGACATCGTATCCTTTCTCGAACACACGCCCAGATCGGAGCTCCTCGTCAGTGCATATTGTCCCTCCGGTACCACCGGTACACATCCCAAACCCGCAACGCGCTCAAAGGGAAGAATCTCCTCGACCTCCTTCTTCTCGATCTTTTTCTCGTGGATTTCATCTGCCCTCTCCATCTCCTGGGTCGCCATATAACGCTTCATCTGCTCATCTGTCTTATCCCGCCCTTTCCACCCTTGCCACATTCTCACTCCTTTCCCGCTCCTATGACACTCCCAAATAGTGATAGTGATACCGAGACTGAGCAGGACGGGAAAACGCCCAGGAGAAGACAGAAGATACGTCCCGTTTCCGCTCTTCCAGCACCTCGTATGTTGGCTGGACGAGAGCCATGGAATGGTGAGGATTGGCAAGGATTTGCTGGTGGTCCTAGCGTCACCAATAGTTCCCCATTGCCCCCGATCTCATCTCATCACGAGCCCTCTCCCAGTTTATCAGGGTTGCCCCAGTCGTCAGGTCTCGCCTCTTCTGCTGCCAACACGATGAAAAGACTGAGTTCGATGTCGAAGAAGCATGCTCGTCGCTTATCTAGCGGACTCAATTTTGGCACTGCGTCATCTTCATCGTCGACTGAGTCTAAACGGGTGTCAACAAAGCTGGAGCCTGTCTTGGGCTCCCCTTCCAAGCCTACTCGATCAGCAACGACTTCGACAGCTCCTAATTTGGGTATCAAGTCAAACATATCCAATGGATCTATCTCTGCTCCCAGCTCTTCATTCAAGCAGTCAGAGATGCCCACATCTATCTCAGATGAGATCATTCGTCAAAAAGCGGAAAAACAAAAGAGACGACAAAGCTGGAATGACTTTATTATCCCAAAGACGGTTTTGGAGAAGCAAAAGGGATTGAAACGGGATATCGGAGCTGTCAAGTATTTCGCTCAAGGATTGGAAAGTGAGTCAGACTACGTACGATTGAATGAATTCAGGCTAACATCGAAGCTCTGAAGACCTATCTCGAGACTCATGCGGCTTTACGTGACAAAGTGGCTATCTCAGGAGCTCCCGACGAACTGGCTCTATTCCGTTCTCTGGAGTCGGAGTTCAATCAATGGTGGGAAATGGCCGTCGTGCTGATCGAAGTCGGATCTACGGGACGTGACAATCAAACATCTTCTCCTCGTTCGCGACGTATCACCATGAGTGCGGATGAGGCTCATTCGGCATCTGCAATGCTTCATCGACTTCCTTCCACTTCGACTTTTACAACCACACCTCGGAAACCTAATTTTAAAGATTCTTCCGAGTCTAATCATATTTTAGGTCCTCCACAAGCGAGTCCAGATAATTGGCGAGCAAGTACGGGCAGACAAGATCTTACTAAAAGGCAATTAGAAGTTTTAAGAACTATGTTGGGTACACCTGTGACACGTTCACCGAATCCAAATTCCAACCCTATAACATCCAGACAAGCCAGTACTGTCTCTGCTTCTTCTGTAGTATCAAACTTACCTCCACCTCCTTTACCTCTTCCCCCATTGCCTGTGATTCATTCGAAACCTTCCAATCGGTCATCAGAAGTGAGATTTCATCATGACCGTACGGAGCTTTCACGATTCCCCTTGCCATCACCAGACGAAAGCAGTTACGCTCAATCATTTTCTTCATTTCCTTCTCCCGATACTGCTTCTTCTATGGTTAATCCTAAAACTCGAGCCTCCAAATCGGGTTTGGCGGGTTTAAGAGATTTCCTCAAATCTTTAAAACATCAACGTCCAAAAGCTCCAGTTCAACCTTCTATAAATCCAAATTCGAACCCTATTCCGACGTCTCCAACTTCACCGATCTCTCCGGCACTTCCTTCAGCAAGTACCCATGATACCTTCTCACCATTACCTCCTTCCACCCGATCAAGTTTTTCCGTCCTTGGTATGGCCCCAGTCCCTCAAAGAGGAGGAAGAAGACCTAACATTCGTAATATTTTCCGTACCTCTTCAGGTAATTGGTCCGATTTAGTCAGAGAACGAGTTTCTGGAGAATCACGTAGATCAAAAGAAGAAGATCGAACTTCACTTCCTTTCTCTTCTCCTTCTATACAAGAAGATTCCAGTCAAATGGAAGTTGGGTCTAAACCAGTATTAGGAAGAAGACATTCAAGTAGATCTGATAAAAGTGAAGGAAGTGGTGGTGGTTGGGGAAGAGGTTCAACTTCACCTACTGCAGCAGTGTTCGGTTTTTTGAAACATGGTAAAGAAAGGGAAATGAGATGGACTAGTAATTCCACTTTTGGATTTTCAGGACAATCTAAAAGATCTTCTACTCCCGCTCCGGAAGAAATACCACCGGATCAAATGATACATTCCGATATTCATTCTTCACATCATACTACTGAAGGTGATGTAAGATCTGATACGATACAAGAAAAAAAGGTGACATTGGAAAAAGTATCACAAGATGACGTGATGGGAGGTGAAACTGTAAGACCGAGAAGGAGGGATATAGGATTAGGATTTCCTAGTTCACCTGATAAATCTTGGAAGAAATTTGAGATTGCTGGACAACAAGTTTCTTCTTCTTCAAATACGACAAACCGATCAGACCCTCAAGCATTCAACGTGAACAAGTCGGATCAATCTGGGACAGTCAATCACGATAATGGTGGATTAGAAAAGGGGAAAACAAAGTTAATAGATACAGATGGAGCAAGGATAGATAAGCAAAGTGATGCAGAAGGGAAAATGTGGGAAAAGGAAAACAAGGGTAAATCAGGGTGAAATGACAGTAGCTCTAACTCCGGAGAATTTACCGGTTTTGTTGAGTTATCTGAGACAATGCGAGAGTAGGTTAGCAGATTGGCGTGTGAGGGCGGAAGGGTTGTTGGGTG